ACAAGTGGAGATGAGTATAAAGTATGTGCAACAGGGTGAAAGTGTACGGATAAAATAGACTGTTGCTGGTATAATATAGGTGCCAAGTACTGCTAAATGGCGCCTGAGAAAAAAAAACTGAAACCCCTAGTGAAAGGAGATAATGTAAATAGTGTACCTACAAAGAAACTTTATAATTTATTATAGTTTTAAGATTTTACAATGATTATATATTTAATACCAAAAAGACTGAACCCATGGATGGACAGGTGAAAAAAATAAAGTTTTTCGTAAACATAAAAAAATCTTTACTGTTTACAATGCTCATAGCGCAAGTGTTCTATACCTGTTCTTAAGTTAACACGTTCGCTGCGGGCCATCAAATGGCAGGCGTAGCCCCAGTGCGGCGCAGCCTGCAGCGTCGAACAATCCCGATTAGAGGTTAATCCTGCATCATTTACAACAAACCCGATTGTCTCTGGTGATTCCGGCTCTTATATATTTCGGTATGACGAATAGCAAATAGCGTGCGGTGATGTCCTGTTTTACAACAAGAGTCCATGTAGTTCGCTAAACACTCACAGATAGCAGCACTGCTTGGAACGTAGCCGGTCTCATCGTATTGCCAATTGGAGGGAGAAAGACGGGACAACAAGTTGGTTTTTAAGTTTGCCAGATGGGGATTTTATGGGGAAATTTTACTACCAACCTACAACACAACAAAAAGCAAGTCACCCACTACACGCTAACGTGGAATAGGTCTGCCTTCGACCGACGCTAGAGCAAAAACGATGATATACGAAAGGCATTGCCGAGCGTATCCGATCGGTTACGGCAGTACCTGAACAGCGCACGGCCCGTATCCGATCGGATACACCCGCAGTGAACGTGTTAAAAGTGTTCCATCAAAGTCCTAAATTACTCACTGGATAAATCTGTTTAATGACAATTCTTTGATATTTTGGGAAACTTATTTCCCGAAACTTATTTACTTTAGCTTTACGTTTTTAAAATTGTTAAAATAAGCGATTCAGATAATCGGCGATTCGGTTAATTGGAGTTTGGATAATTTGAGTTCTACTATAATATTTACTATGAAACTACAACTCTTCCACATCATTTTAAGGTAAAGAAAATATGTTTTACAACTAAAACAAGTTTGTGATGATTTTTTTTAAGTTTTTGTGGGAGAATTTGTGTTTTCCGAACAATAATTGTTCACATCTCATATAAAATAATTTTTTTAATAGGGTAGGTTAAATAATATAGGAAAGCTCTTTTACAGAGTATTCAAGTAACCCCACAAGATTGTAGGCCTACATTAATGCATACACATGGACCCTAATCATAACATTGAAAAACCTTATGCTAGGTTCAAGTAACCCAGCAGGTGACTTAAAGATATATTTATCAACAAATAAAATATAAATAATATGTATAAAAAACTGAAATAACTTAAGCCTATCGTGAATGTACTCTCCTAGGTGAGACCACAGAAAACATACTACTATAACCCAGAATGACAACCACATGGTAAAAAGCATTAACTTAATGTAAGTGTTTCAAGAGAGCTTTGCCTTTCAATCGTAGGCAGCGCCACCAGCGTTGCTATGCTAAGTGAATGGCAACGCTGGTGGCGCTGCCTACGATTGACAGGCAAAGCTCTCTCAAAACACTTAATGCTTTTTACCATGCGGTTGGCATTCTGGGTTATAGTAATATGTTTTCTGTGGTGAGACCCTAGAGCATATCTAAAAACAATTGAAAGTTTATAAATATTTTAGAAAATATTCATATCAGAAGTTGAAAAGCGTGTTCAAGATAGGCTACCCCACTTTACGGCACTGCCCTTTTGTGATTCGACCTACTGAGATATTTCAATGCCAATGGCGATCCCTGATTCGGTAGCGCGCTGGGGCTCCGCCCGAGCCTTGCCGCAGTTTAGGGAGCGCCTGTGTAAAGGTTTTCAGCAGTCAACGTGTTAAGTTTGGTTAGAATTAGGCCTAAGTTATTGACACATTTACCAGTCAAGTGTGCCAATAGAGTATTTAGTAATTTTTAACGCTTTTCACAGTTTTCAATTGCGTTTTTCAACATGAAATAAGTTAGGCCTAGGTATTTGCCGAAAAAGTGGAGGGTACAGTTTCTTAACTGGCCTATGCTCCTAGGCCTAATACCAATTGAAACTATGGCTGCACTTTACTTGACGTCCTACACTCATTCGAATGAAAATATCGATCGATATATCGATTAATCGATTGCTTCATTCGATATATCGTTTGGTTAGTTAGGTAAGGTTAACATAACCTAACTAACCAAATGATATATGGAATGAAACAATCGAATGAAAATATCGAATTGAAAAAAACAATTGAATGAGTGTAGGACGTCAAGTAAAGTGCAGCCGAAACTATCAATTCCATGTGTAAACCTTCATTTGATTTTTCACTATCAGCAAGTTTGGTAAGTTAGGTTAGGTTATGACAATTTAATTTTATAATTGATAGAGGCTAGTAAAAATATTAATTACTAAACGATAAGTTATTTTCGATTCGATAGTTTTAATCAATATTAGCATAGCCCAGCTAAGGTAGGCCTAGCCTACTCAAGAAGATTTTCATATGCCTAAAATTGCCAATTTCAAGCATTTCGATTGATTTTCAAACATGTTTTTCAGGGTGAAATAGGCCATGACGTTTCCCTCAAAGTGCTTAAGGTAAAACGTGCTTAAAATAGTCTAATTTTGGTAGATAACTCAGGCCCACTTTTATAAACGGGCAGACTGGGCATATGCCCAGAGGCGCCCTGAACCACCGCCCGCGCTAGGAAAAATAGGGTTTTATCAGCCGGGATTTCAAAAATAAAATGGGTGATTTCAACCTGTAGTTAAGTGATTTTCCCTCCTTACAAAGTAAATAAATACAACAATGCTCACATTGCAGTTAGTGAACCAGTAATAAATAAATAGGCCTAGAGAAGTGTTGATACAACGATACAAGTAAGTTTACTGTAGCCCTATAAACAGTGAAAAATGCATAAAAATCTAGTGGAGCCGAGAGCCGCAAGCTGTTGGCTCAAAGAAGAAGAAGTTTTAGAGAAAGTGAAATGTATTAACCAGTATTTCCATTGATATGGAATTGAAAACTCCCTCCCGAAACAAAACTGGTAAAAATCACGCTAATGTAGCCTATATATGTGCACGGGCCTATAGTAGGAACCATGGAAAAATCATACTCTCTTAGTAGAATCTCGTTCAATACGTGAGTAATGAACTGTACTGAACAGTAATCAAATCACTGCGTAGTGCAATAAGCTATTGGCGCAGGGCAAGAGGCATTCGCATAGCAACTACTGTCAAGTTCATTGCACTCACCCCAACCCCCAACCCAACTGCTGTGAATTTTGGCGAACTGATGAGTCAACCCCCCTTCCCTCTTACCCTCCCTACAGAGCTGTGGTCAAAACCCTTATAGTTATATAGGCTAGGCTATATACATATAAATATACATAAGAGGGCTCTGCTTTTGGGTTTGCCCAGGGCGCCACTGACCCTTAACGCGGCCCTGAGATAACTTAAGGGAAAAAATGCAGTAAACTTATAACATAGCAAAGTAGTAAAAGTACAATAGCCTATTATCCCATAATCAATTGGGCTGCACTTTACTTTACGTCCGACACTCATTCGAATGAATTTAACCCTCCCAGTGTTACTTGACGAAAATTCGACAAGCAGCACACTTTGTGTAGTGTTACTTGTCGATTTTTCGACACGCAGACATCGTTTACGGCGAAGGCTCTATGACTGACTGAATCGGATTGAACTGGATCGAGTTAGGTATCGTTCTTTCCGTAATATTCTAAGCTTTCTCCAGAGGTCTGTCTCTAAGCGCTATTCATTTTAGTTCCGAAAATATTGTAGCAGACAGCTGACGTGCGTGTATTTGTAAACAGCTAGGTTCCCCCGGACCGATGACTGATGTGTTTTATTACGTTTATCATTGTTTTAGTGTTAAAAATCAAAAGTAGTGATATACGTGGTGCATTATAAGAAGATTTAAGTGGTTTTGAAGTGCTGGTTGATGATCCTGAAGAAGTAGGTAGTGATATTGATGTAAATTATCAGCCAGATTCCTAGCTATGGTTAGGCTATGCATTCTTAGCTAAACGCTATGTACTGAAATCAGTTTTTTGCCCATAACTTATTTATTTGCAAATCTACTTCCTTATATTATTATATATTTGTAATCCTCATAAAATTTAGAACAAAGTGGCTATTTTCAAATATTTATAGGCCTATAATTTATACAATTTCATTGAGCGCGAACTTATTTTTTTTTTTTGAAAATTTTTGAAATTATATTTTTTTTACCTAAAAATTTTTTTTTTTGAAAAATGTTCCTTATGTTTTATATATAATATTGAAGCCCATGATTTTCCAAACAAAATGGTATATAGAACATTCGAATTAACATTGTTTTAAGCTTCTCAGATCCGTTTTAATAAAACCTTGCGAATGCGCCAAAAATAGGTGGACATTAAGGCCTAAACTATGGACACTTGGAGGGTTAAGTATGGATTGTTTCATTAAATATATCGTTTGGTTAGTTAGGTTAGGTCAACCTTACTTAATTAACCGAACGATATAGCTTATCGAACAATCGATATTTTCATTCGAATGAGTGTAGGACGTAAAGTGCAGCCATCAATTGCTATAAACTGCAGTAGGCTAGTATGTGGTTTAGGGTCCTCCAATTTTCATAATGATAAGTTACACACCTTAATTCTATGTGTTCTTAAAAAGAAAGGCCTGGGCCTAGTCTTCACAAATCAATAATAGAAGAGGCTAGGCTTTGTTTTGGCTACGCTAGACCTGGACCAAGATGCAAAGTTAGGCCACATAAGTTTAATTAGTCTTAGACGATTTTTAGTATTTTTATTAACTGATTTTAGACCTAGTTTTAGACGAGCAAGTTGATGATAAAAGCATGAATGATTAAATCAAGGGCTTGGTGTTTACTTACGACAACTCTATCCTCTTCTGATAGAATAGCTTGATCCACTTGCCATCCATTGTGTAAATGACCTAACATATACGACATTCTCGTTAATTTTAAGACGTTTGTTGGGCTGAAATAACAACAAATCTAGTATCAACAAAGTATTCAAATTCTGTGTCAAACAGTCGTATGTTTATGGCCTATGACATAACCATAAAATAATAATAAACTAATATGAAAGTTCTTTTACTTTCTAGAAATTCAAAGATAATCAAAGGAAAAAGGAATGGAATTGGAATTGGAATGACGAATACAAATCACTGAGCTATAATTCTCAAATGGTTTGGTACTTTGGTGGTCGGTGGGAGTCAAGATGCATGGAGTAAAAGAGGTGGGCCAGACAGAGCGTGCCCCTCTCCCCACAGCACAATTTGTTTTTCAGGATTAATTTTGCCAACAGTGTCATTTAGAGGCTTCTGATTGACATAACGAAGGTTTAGTAATTGAAACATTATTTTTGTTCATAGAATAAAATTATAAATGCCTCAAATTCAAATTTTATATTTTTTTATTATGAAACTAAACCGTCATAACCTAACCTAACCAACCAAACGTGCTGACGATAAAAAAATCGAATGAAGGTTTAATAATCGAAAAAATAGTTCTGTTCATAACATAAAATTATAAATGCCTCAAATCCAATTTTATAATTTTTTTATTCTAAAATTAAACTATCATAACCTAACCAAACTAACCAGACTTGCTAATAATTAAAAATCAAATGAAGGCTTAACCGAAAAAAAATATTTCTGTTCATAAAATAAAAATTTAAATGTGTCAAACTCAATTTCATAATGTTTTAATTATAAAATTAAACCGTCATAACCTAACCAAACCAACCAAACTTGTTGATAATGGAAAAAAATCCAATACAAAAAAATAGTGCTACGGGTAGGATTCGAACCCGGGTCCTTCGGATCAACAGCCCAGAGTCCCAGAGGAAGGGAGTGTCTCACATCGTGTATCGTGTACGAAATTCTTTGCAGACGGAACATTCAAGAGCTGCAGCAAGCAGTTTGCTCAGCTTTACACGTTCTATGCGGATCTGGGTCGTTCTGACCAAGAGACTAAAAGCTAGGCGCCCACCGGGCAACTCAGCGGGTGACGCGGCGCGGCGCGACGCCGTGGAAAAAGCTGCCATGTATCCGTGCCATGTTATCTTATGGACTGACGCCCACCTAGCAACCCAGCGGGTGGCGCAACGCGGCGCGGAAAAAAAACTTCTTCTCGAATCCGGCAGTGAGAATTCGGTGGAGAAATTCTTCCTCTCGTGTTGCCGCGCCTCCGTTGAGTTGCCTGGTGGGCGCGGGGTAGAGGCACGGAAACGGCGTCTGCCGCTCATTCGGGTGTTTTCGGGAAGTATCGTGAGCCCTTCGGGAGTGTTCGGGCCCGAATCGAAGTACACTGTGCATCCCCTCCAAAAGAATAATTCTCCGCGCTGCCCCGCGCTTCCGCTAGAGTTGCTTGGTGGGCGCGAACCCTGGAGAAGCGGACGGAAGTTTTTCTCCGCGTCGCGTCGCGTCACCCGCTGGGTTGCCCGGTGGGCGCCTAGCTTAACGTTGTTCCAGTCCTGTACGCACTGCTTCCTGACAAAAAGAGGGAAACCTACGTCAGAATGCTCAGAGCTATACTAAACGAAGTACCGTCTTGGAAGCCGGTATCTATCATCATTGATTTTGAAGCTGGAGCGATCTCAGGGTTGCGGGAGGTGTTCCCGACGGTGACAATTAATGGGTGTTTTTTTTCACTTTGGCCAGTGCCTTTGGAGGAAGGTCCAAGAAATCGGGTTGTCGAAAGACTATAAAGAAAATGAAGAAGTCAGAAAATGTATAAGAATGTGTGGTGCTCTACCATTCCTCAAAGTGGAAGACATCGACGACGGTTGGGTGCACATCCACTCTAACGCCCCTGCACATGAAAAATTGGATTTTTTTTACTATTTTGTTGAGCAGTGGCTGGGAAACCCTCAGTTGCCGAAAGAAGTGTGGAACTGTTATAAAAGGAGGCATCGCACGAACAATGCTGTTGAAGGGTGGATCTTCAAGCTAAACAACAATGCGGGAAGACCTCATCCTCGAATTAGAGATTTGATCCTGATACTGAAAGAGGACGCTACAAAAGCTGACGGAAAAATAGCCAGGATATGAATGGATTTGGGAGGAGCACAAAGACGAAAAAAATACTGTCAGCTGGACGTCCGTATCGCCAGAAGTACGAACAAGTACGGAGAAGATGGAAATGTCGGCCGATTTTTGAATGTGCTTGGTTATGTTTTAAAGCATTGTATTGCATGTATGGTAGCCAAAAGTTTAAAACCTATAAAATAAAAAAACAGAATAAGAATACAAAAATACATTACAAGGTCCGGGTCCATGGCATCCGCAGGGTTTTAACCCACTGTCGTATTTGAAAGATTTATTATGTTTTATTTTATTATTAATTGTAATTGTATTGTAAATAATTTTACTGTCATCGTGATTTTGGTTTTGTAATAATTTAGTAATTGCAAAATACTGACTATGTATTTTTTTATATATTTAATTATGATTGTATGTAAATATATTTGTATTGTAAATGTTATTCAACTCGTACTTTTAAATGCCTAATTCTGTAATGTACTATGTGTTATTATTTTTTGGGGTAAATAATAGGCCTAATATTCGTATATTCAAGTGTGTTTTTTAATATTTGATTGCGATTATGATTTTATGTAAATATTTTTGTATTGTAAGTAATATTGTACTGGTAATTTTAAATACACAATTCTTTAATCTATTTTCCGTCATGATTTTGATTGGGTCATTAATAATACTGGTTTATATTCTCTTGTGTTTTTCAATTGTTTATTATGATTGGGACTTTATGTAAATAAAATTGAACTGTTACACTCTCATACACATTCTCTTATCTGTGTTTTTTTTTTAATTTTAAATGTGTTATACATAATACTGGTCCATATATTCTATTGTTTTTTAAATATAATTATGATTGTGATTTTATGGTAAATGTAATTGTACTGTCAAATATACTCTAATATATTTTGTATCATAATTTTGATTTGGTTATAAACAATACTCGATTTATATATTCCGTTTTTTTTATGATTTATAAATATAAGTAAAATTAATAATTCTCTGATCTATTATTTATGTATATATATATATAATGATGATGATACTGTTGTAAATATTATTCGTAATTAAGAATAAAAAGAGGCCGCTATAAATATTGTTTGAGTGGGTCTGTGATATTAATCAGATAATTTATTCAATATTCATGCGGCTAAATGAATACTAAACTTATACACTAAAGTGTACTATACTAAGCTTAGCAGACTTGGGAACTGAATATTCGTAAATTCATTAAAACCATAGGTAAGCATAAAAACCATTAGATCTTGAGTTTCCCATGTAACCTTTTGAGTACTTATATTTAATTGGAATTAAAGAATCTTAACAGCTGGTTCTACTAAACAATTTGATTCTGTGATGTTCAATAGCATTAAAAAGTTAAAAGGTTAACCGACTGGGTGCAGCACTATTATTTCTTTAAATTATGACAACAGCTAATTTGCAACCAAAAGGTGAGTGAGCGTAGAGAACGAATACATCAATATACATTGTGACGAGTTAATATTAGAATCGACTGTCCTTCGAACTTATCGCTAACTTTCCTTTGGATCGGAACTAGCTATATTATTGTGGTACTAACTATGAAGTAGCCGTGATCATAGTATGACGGGCGCACATGAAAAGAGCCCAAAAACTCAGGCAGACGCTTGAAAAGCGCCCGGACCTCCAAGGTCCCACCCAGGACGGTGCGAAAAGAGCCCGGTCTCTTTCTAGAGCTTTCACAACGGGTCTTCAAAGGAGAAGATCTAATAGCGCAGTTAAAATACATGAAATTATTTACAATGTTAAACGATACACTTTTAAAAGATACATTAATAAAATATATATAATTCAAAGATATTTACATTACTAAAAGATATAGTCTGTTTACCTAACCTAACCTAACCTAACCTAACCTAACCCTAACCTAACCTAACCCAACCAAACAGAACACTATTTACTAAAACACTACTATATATACACTATATAGGTACACACAATTTATAGTCAGCGTCCTCCTCGTCAGGTACCTGTGGAGACCCGGGCTCTTTCCATGCTTAAGATTAGTGAACCTTTTTGGGGATTAAAATTTCGGGCTCTTTTCATGTGCTCCGAGTATGACACCGTCTCGACAACCCCCCCCCCCCCCTCCGCACAACACCCACGAACCCTCTTTCCAAGAACGGACCGGACTGGTAGCGATTGTCACTAGCAGCGAATGTCACTGGTGGCGATTTACAGGATACCGATGCAGGACGAAGGCGTTGTCCTGTTGTCCTTGAGGGGGTTAATTGAAAGGTAGTAAACTAGCAGCTTTCTCCTCTTCGATGTGTCCAATTTCATCTCGAAAAGTTGTTACTTGGTCCTCGCTATAGATGAACTGTACACTGTATTCCCCTTTTCGCGTAATGCAATACCGAAGGACCAAAAAACTGTACACACCGCGATGTACGTTTTGATTGTAATGAATTATGTAATAAATCGTATGAGCTTGGTTTTATGGAGCTGAAAGACTGAATTAATGAGAAAATGTAACTTGAAACTAGTAATGTAAACTTGATTGTTATGTGTTAAATGAATGAAATTGTAATACTTAAGAATGAACGTTGGTGCCTTAATGAATGACCTTACCTGTGCCACACACAACCCCGAAGCCCAGGGGTGGGGACGACGGGGGTAGGTTATTATAAATATACAATTGGTTAGGATTTTGATCTTTAAATGAGTACAGAATTGTACCTTAACATGTTAACTGTGAATTACATGTAACATATTACAGATCCAATCAATTATTGTACAATGATAAACCTACTACTTAACCGACTATAATATAACTGTTTCTTTAACTGTTTTCTAAATATCAGCGTTTTAACGCATAGCGCACCCCGCCATGTTTGCCCTCTCCCCCCCACCTTATCGACCACTTCTGAAATCGGCGACATACGAAGTTTTCATCACCACAGTCCAAATTACAATAATCAGCAATAACATTGCATACTACTCTCATGCCTGCTCAAACCCCCTCAGCTCCCGGACTATTTAGTATTATCTAGTGTCATGTAGCACTGGTTTGTAAAATATTATTTTTACAGATGCATCTTGATTCAGTCAACCGGGCTGCCTATA